TCTAGTTTCCATCCACCACGATACAATTTGCTCTAATTATCTGTTTCACCAATTCCCCTTTTCTTTTCTCTGGTAATCCCCAGTGTCAGACAGAAGATTTTATACTGTCGAAAAGTAAAGATTTACTTTGTCTGATAATCTTTAAACATTTTACTTAAAAAGAAAACCTCATGGGGCAATTTTTCAATGTATATTTCTAACTGTATTAGTCTGATCTCACCATATTACTGAAAGTAAAGTAGAAAAATTTCTATGTTCATGGCAGAGAATAATGATTGCTCCAGGTAGAAAAATGAACCATTGAGCCATACTATAGCTTATGCAAACTCACAACTTACAAACTTGGAGTTTAATTGACAGATTTTTAGATTCTCTTTTACTATGTTGTGTTCCTTTCCCTAGCACATTAGCTTCTACCAGTTGTGTTACCAGATATCAAACACATTCAACCACATTATTTTAAAGACTCACCATTCATAGGATAATTTCATGAGGTTTCATAAGGTAAGTGCAGAAAACAAAGAAATAGAATTCAGTGAACCCTCAATCCATCTAGGAATTAACAAAGGGGAAATCAGGAGTTCAGTTTTAGATGTGTTGAGTTCAAAATAAAACAGACATCCAAGTGGAAATTTCCAGAAGGTAGTTTTATACCAGTGTGGTAGTAACAGAGCTCTGGATTTGGGTCTCCTTTGTATGAAGGTGGCAGCTGTCTGAGCTCACTTAGTAGGAAGGGATCTCTGCCTGGCTGGGAAGGGTGGAGATACAGAATGCCATGTATAGACCTCAAAAAACACCAACATTGTCATATTTTGGCTGAACAATAAGAGGGCGAAAAGGTAACAGAGAAAATGTGGAAATAAAAATGTAAAGAGTGAACTTCTCAAGGGATTCTCAACAGTGTGACATGTCACCAGTATGTCAAGATAAGTAGTCTGTTGACTTGGGCAACTAGAGTGCTTGAGCAAGAAGCCATGCAGGAATGAAGTTGGAAGTGGAAGCAGATGCTTTCCATTTAGGGTAAGAGCATGTGAGGAAGGATGAAGCAGCATGTGTCCTTGCAGTTTAACTAGCCATTGTCATATTGGCTGTTTAAATCACCTTATAAATGTAATAAAAATAAATACAATTAAAAATTAAGATCCTCTTTCACACTAGCCACAAGTCCTCAGTAGCTCGTGTATGTAGTGTTTATCATGGCAGGCAACACAGGTATAGAATATTTTCATGATCACAGAAAGCACTTGTATTTTTTTATTTTTCCTTTTGAAGAATTTTTATTCAGAAAGTATCAAGAATAACTGTGCTGTGGGGCTGCCATGTGTACATAATTTTTTAATGGAGGTTAAGTTGGCATGTAATGAGTTTAAGGCATATAATTTAATGATTGAATATTTGTATATATATTGCAAAATGGTTGTTAACAATATGTGTAGTTAATACATCTGTCACCATATATAGCTACAAAATTGTGTATACATGATTAGAATTTTTGGGATATACTCTTAACCATTTTCAGATATACAATAGAATATTATGACTCATTTTATAACTGGAAGTTTTTGCCTTTTGACACCCTTCACCTAGTTTAATACCACCTTACAGCCACCAATCTGTTCTTCATACCTACACAAGATCCTGTTTTTGTTCTTTGGTTTTATTTGGATTTCACATAAAAGTATGACATCTTTCCAGAAAGCTCTCTTAGACAGTACTAGAACTTGTTAAAAGAAATGGGAAGGTGAAGAAGCTTGAACGGCATCCTGTGTTGAAGGGGTGGGGGTACCTCCATATCTCAGTGACCACTGAGCCTGGGCAAGTGTATTTTATGACCTGTGTGAGGCAAATCTTTGGTGAAGAATTTGTATTAGAAAATGAAATAAAACAGGAAGGGCTCCACGGTGATGCTGGGAAGGTTGGCATGCAGAACACTGGAGTCAGGGTAATTCATTTTCCAAGTATATATGAAACAACAAGAAAGAAAATGTAACTACAATTGACTATGGCAAAATCCAAGAAAATGTAATTACAACCAACTGGCAAAACCCAGAAGCACTTTATTGTAGTAGTTATAGTGACTTGTTAAGAATACAGAGAGCTATACATTTAAAGGGGATTTTTTTTTTTTTGCCATTATGAAGACCCCAGTACTTGAAACCAAACAGGAATTAATGTTCAAAATTTTAGGTTAAAAAAAATAGATTGAAACTAATGCATATTGCAATCCTTTTGTCCTTATTTATTTATTTATTTATTGGCTACTTGGCAATATACATTGGATGGGGCATTTTATAACTATTTTCTTTAACTCCAAAATAGCAAATCTAAGGATAGTTTCCATTTTGGATTGAGAAACCAAAATTTTATCCAAACCAAAAAAAAAAAAAAGTTTATTTGGGGACCCTGGGAAACACAGAGCACTCCAGTTGTGTGCCCGTGTTGCCAATGGGGGTATCTGTCTCTACAACACAATCAGCTGCAATTTATGCACACCACATTTTCAGTAAGTATAGTTTTGTTTTGGGGAAATTTGCCAAATGGTGATTGGTCAAATTCTAACCCTAAAGGTCTTTGCTATGCCAGTGTGGGTTTAGTATTCTTCTTCAGGATAGACACATCTAAGCATGCCCAAAGGTACCTGAGGTTAGACCCTCCATACCCTCTGACTTTGGTTTTTACCAAAACTTGGGCTTTTCTAGTTTTTTTGTGTTGTTTGTTTGTTTTTATACTACCATCATTATAAAGTTAGGCAGCTTGCTCACGGGTATAGCATTACTAAGAGTCAGGATTGTATTTGAACACTGGTAGGAAACACAGATCATATTGGGCAATAACAATACAGAAAAAGACCAGAAGGCTAGAAGTGCACATAGCAGAGAACTATCATTTGAAGGGCCACAGAAGGGTCCTTGGTTATAAATGATGCCTTAGGAAGATCAGAAGAGGAGAGTTGGGTTGATTACTAGAGAAAGAATGTGTCAGGAAGATACAGCTACCTCCTCTTAGAGTTGATGTTCAATGAAGTGAAAATGTAATGTGAGCTGAAAAAAAAGAAGGTAATTTTAAGTGAGGAAACAGATTTAGAGCCCACCCAACTTCTTCCATTTATATTCTACTCCATCTGGTACTCTCAAAGTTAGATATATATCAAGATGTTAATAAGACTTTTTTAAAATGGTGAACATTTCAGGACTCCAAAATCCAGTACACCATAGTAATATAGGAGATAGCCAGCTAGTGCTCTCTCTCACATTCCAGTAAAAGATGCAGCTCCCAAAGCGATGATCTCACAAGGCCAATACAACCTGTGTTTACACAAGTCTATTATATTGCTAAGTTTTTCTTTTCTTGACCCAATGATCATTGGAAGTGGTTCTTTTAAAGGAAGCAGAGTACTCAATCCTTAATATTTTATCACACTTATTAGGTTTTTTTCTGGCAAACCTGAATGACTACACATTGATCTGAACCTGTGTCCTTCTATCAATAATACCATCATGACATGGATTCAGCTTTTAAAATTATGTTTTATATCTGTCTCTCAAATTATTATTTAATCCTTTACAGAAAATGTTTCACTGACTAAGAATATGTTAAACTATTTATACTTAGTTTAGGACAGGAGAATTTAGTGGTAATGGATTAATTTCTCTTCTGTGACAATGCCACTGTGACCTAACAGATTTCATTGAGTTGTAATTTGTTTTGTTCATTTTACTGAGATTGGCCTTATTACTTGGTAATTATTTTCTGATTGAAGATTTCACCTGGGATAAGCTGCTTTCATGGGTGAGAATTAAAAACCTACTTTGAATCATTAAACAAAGACTATTTGAAAACATGACAGTATCTCTTAGCATCATTTTGGAAAGACTTCATATCCCCCTGCACCAATTTCTTAATAATATATTCTTTAGTGGAATGTATCATGGCTTAGCTAGTTATCATTCTTATCTCCTAATTGTCATAAAAAGGATTTTATGAATGTTATCTGATGGTGCTATAAGTATAATTAAAACATAAGCAACAGGACACCATAGTCATAAATAATCTATCTCATTAGCATCACTTAGAACAGGTTGAGGAAAAGGAAGAAAAGATGTAGGTTACTTTGGGATGACTTAGGAAAGCAGATTTGTGTTTCTATCGAGAACATATAAATGTTTTCCATTCACCTAGTAAGTAGATATAAATAGAATTGAAGTCATAATGCAAATAATGAGAAAAAATGCTGCATAAAATTTCTACAGACATACTTTATATTTGTCATGATAGTTTATAACTAATGTTTTTGTGCATTAGTACAGGAAAATACAAAGTTCATTTTGATAATGAACCATTCTTGTGGTATCAGTTTGTTAAAATCTTTTTAGTTTGAAAAAATATTTAGAAGTATTCTTTTCTCTAAATTTATGTTTCTGGAAGATGTTCATTTCTTGTTTAAAATAAACAACTGGTGCTTTTAAAGTGTCACTTCTAACAAAATAATTATAATAAAATTGTGGTTTTCCCGTTGTCAAGTAGATGCTATCTGTTGGATTTCTTGAGTCTTGTAGCACCTACTCAAACATATAGATCTGACATCTTGTGAGTTATACCTTAATAGGCTTTTAAAGACAATGTCTAAAGCTTTGCCTGTGATAACAGATGTTATCTGATGTAGCTTGTTGATATTTTATTTCAGAAAGTAATACAGCTTATACTTGGATGACTTTTGTGTATCTCACGATCACATATACATTCTTTTGTTGTGCAAACAGAAGCTATCTGGTGTTTGCTCATATCAGAAAGAAATAGAGGGTATATGAAATGAAATGTGAAGCATATTATGTTTTTATTGTTCTGGAAAATGTTCTCCCCCACCCATTCTTGAAAGCTTGAGCACAAATGTACTCATTTATTCAGAGGAATCAGGAGATGATATTTTTAAGGCACAAAAATTTGTAAATTTTGCAATCTTATCAACCCTCCACTGCTTATCTCTTTTCTTTTTTTCACAGGTGATTTCTATTCACTACTTTCCAAACTGCTAGGAGAAAGGGAAGATGTTGTTCATGTGCATAAATATAATCCTACAGAAAAGGCAGAATCAGAGTCAGACCTGGTAGCTGAGATTGCAAATGTAGTCCAAAAGAAGGATCTTGGTGGATCTGATGCCAGAGAGAGTACAGAACATGAGGACAGGGGCAATGCTATTCTTGTCAGAGACAGAATTCACAAATTCCACAGACTAGAATCTACTTTGAGGCCAGCAGAGAACAGAGTTTTTTCATTACAGCAGTCCCTACCTGGTGAAGGCACCTGGGAACCAGAACATACAGGAGGTGCGTTTAGGACTTCTTTTAAAGAATTACATGTGAATTGCTACAATCCACATTAGAAAATCTGAAGGGAATAAAAATTAATGTGTGAAAAAGCTTACCAGTAAAAAGGATTTGTTAGAAAAACTGCTAGTCAGAGTTGAGTTGTCAGATAGTACCTTTGGATAAAGAGTTTTGTTTTGGTCTAAGAGTACATAAATTCTCTTCCCTTTCAATTGGTGAGCGGGAATTACCAGGACAGGAAATATTTGCATTAGTGCAGGGAGGGTGGCATGTGAAATTCCGGGTAATAAATTCTTCCCAAATCAACATTCTCTTTTGCTGAATGGGGAAAAAAAAAAAAAAACTGAAAATTCAAAACCTGTTATGTAAAGTGCCAATGTATGAAATGTTTATATACTCCTTCCTTTTAAGATAATTAAATTCCTCTCAAAGGAATCCTATACTTCTAGCATTCTTATCCAATTGACTTGTAAAATGTAACCATTTTTATGACTTTGATTTCATAAGTTCCACTATCAGTTATGCCTTAATTGCAAAGTTGAGTAGTTATTTCTGAGGGACCTACAAAATGTCAGTAACTATCAGATTTATCTTTATGTCTAACCAGGATTGGCTTCCATAATTAAAGGACAACACCTTATTCCCTTCAGGTTTCTATACCAGCAAGCTATGGTTGCCTCATCTCTGTCTTTAATTGTGTTGTGGCCTCTGTGATATTGATTGTGTTTCATGTTACTTGCTAACGTGGATAGCCAGCTAATACAGCATGTGGAGATAATCTCCAAAAAAAGTAACAGATATGTGTGCGTGGCAGTTGTCCATATGTGGGCTGGAATGGCACAAGTTGCCAGCTTGATGTTTTCAAATACAGCTTTGCAGGAAGTCATAAATTATTCAACACCAGGCTGATTTTTATTTATAATTGAAAAAAATTAGCATGCCGTGCCTTTTGCTCACATGGAAGTTTCAAGCACTGCCCATTGGGACTAACCTAATAGTCTCTAGGAGATGTTAACCGGAACCTAGATTTTTACCTTCTCATATTTAAACAGGCTGAGGCTTGTTCTCACTCACTCTAAATTTATCTAATAGAATTGTGTTTCTCAAGAAGTGGCCCCTGGACTCCCTTACATCAGAATAATCTAAGGTACTTATGAAAAATCTAGACTCTTGAATTCATCAGAGAACAACCAAATTGATATCTGTGATTATACATAGAAATGTGTTGTTTATTATGCTCCAACCACCTCATAAGCTGTCTGGAGTCTGTCTGAACCTCTGCAGTGAGAACAGTAAATTATAAGCCAAGGAACACAAAGATATAAAAGGCAAAGGGGCCTTTTTGGTAAGAGTCCAATTGTGTTCAAATGTGAAGTGTTAAAGTCACAGCATGCTTATTCCATGACTTGCCTTTATTACTCTTCTATTTAAATAATATCATGGTCATTTATAAGCATCACAAGTGAACTTGAAGTTTGAATCAAAGCATTGTATTCTTGAAACCTACCTAGTATTTCTGAGAAAGTAAGCCCAAAATACCTGATATACATTTAGTTGCCAAATCTCCTCATACCCTCCAGAGTGGTGAAAATGGCTGGATTTTTCTGGGATATGGTTCAAGAAGTTTCTTTTCATTTTAAATATGTGGGTAAATGTCACTGAAGTAAATAAAACAGTGAGGTACAGAAGCGTACAACAGAAATCCTAATTATAGAAAGGAAATGTATATGATTTTCTTCTTTGGATACTTTTTTCAGTATTATTTCATTACTCCAACTCAACATATTTTTTAAATTAAATGCAAAATACTATAAGCTCATACTCAGATGACATATTTCTGAAAGTCTTTTTCTTTTCAATTCTCTTTACTGATTACCATAATACAATATAATAGCTAACTTTAGTCGAAGATGTTTCATTCCTTTTTATGAGCCAAATAAACACCTAACCTCAGGAAGCTGCCATTTGTAAAAATGAAAGTAAGAAGTTATTAGCATATAATGCCCTAGTAACATAAATTAGTAGTCTCATACATGTGCATTCCCCAGGGGATGAGCAAGAGCAATAAATTTGATGGGTAATCTACTGCCTCTGTCCTACCTTTCCTTTACTCCAGGCAAAACTGAAAATGGAATTCTAATTATCTGGAGGAATTAACTGTCTCCCCAACTGGAGGAATTAACTGTCTAATTTGCTATAAGGAACTGTACTAGCTGCAAAAAAGAAAGTAGCTTCTCATATGATTATGAAAACAAAACTATAAAGCTATTATGTTGCTTAATATTATAGGTTATACTTATTTCATAAATCTTCAAGGCCTATTATTGATTTTCAAATGAAAAACTGAAGCCTAGAGAAGTTATCCTATTTGAGTGAGGTCACATGTACTGAATAAACTTTATGATGTCTAATGTGTACCTTCTAGTTCTTTCCAATTAAGTTCAGCTGAGCTTGGTAAAATCAGGGCTAATTTGCTTACCCCACTCAAATATACCTCCCTGGACCTCTGAAACCTCAATGCCTAGGGACTGGGGCTTCCACTCAGGACCTTGTTTTGATGTCCCTAGATCACACACAAGCACAACCTAGTACAGTGACATTATATTTCTTTGACAGACCCATACTTTGGAACTGTAGTCTGGTGATGGATTCTAGCCAGCTGATGATGATTCAAATGATCAAATGATTTGATGATTCAAAGATGAAATTGTTGAACCAGTTCAAAAATCTGAGTGTGACTTTTGTGTGGTCAGTTTAGGACTACCAAAGGGTATTGCTTTTGAGCAGTATCTTTTTTTTAAGATTTTGTGTATTTATACATACAGAAATGGGGTACAGGCCAGAAAAGCAGGGACAGAGAAATGATTCACCAGAGACAGAGTGGGGAGCAGAACAGGCAGATCGACAAAGTACAATGCTAAGGGAAGCTTTAGGGGGTGGGGGTGGGGGGTAGGTTGGGGGTGGGTAGGATTGAACTCACACTGAAGCTATCACAGCTTGGCCTAGCTCAGCTTCACAGTGCAGCAATCCAACCCATTGTACCACAGGGAGGTACTCAGTACCATTTTTTGGATCTATATTTGTCTGAATTCCACTTGTTGCCACACCCTAGCAATTGCCTTTAGAGTTCAATTGTCCACCTCATTCTTGTTTGAGTATCAGTGGGCAGCAAATTGGATGAAGAACACAATACAATAGAATGACCATCTAGCTTTGCAGAACTGAGGAGGTCCTTATAAGTCTAGGGACATGATGGTTAAGTACTGTGTATTCAGTGTGTCTTTAAAAGTGCACACATCTGCATATAACACCTTTTTTTTTTTTAGGTCTTCATTGACTTTCTTAATTTAGATTTTTTGGTGGTGTTCAAAGTCAATTCTGAAAACTCTTCCCTGGAATTATAAAAGCAGCTTTAGAAACAGAATTTTCCTGTGTGGATTCAGCTAAATGAGACCAAAACAAAGGTTTTCCAACCATTGTTAGAAAGAGCATGCCTCAAGAAAGGCCAAAACGTGGGAAGTGGTAGTTGTGCGATCCCTGCTGCACACATTCCTCTCTCTCTCTTTCTCACACACAACCCTACGTACAATACAGTTTGCTCCAGCTCAAGTCTTCATTTGGCCAAATTAGAGTTTGAAAACCAGGGCCTCTCTGATGGCTTAAGGGGTTAAAGTACAGCACTATGAAGCTATCCTGAGACACTGTAGCACATCCCTGACCAGAGTGGTGGCCCACATGGTGTGGCAGACCTCTACTGTTTTGAACACTGCTCCCCTTAGCAGTGTATTCCAGCCTGTTCTGCTCCCCACTCTGGTGAATCTTCTCACCACCCCCTGCATCTCTGGCCTGTACCCCACTTCTTATATGTATAAATAAATAAATCTTTAAAAAATAATTTGGAAACCACCCCTGAAGTCAGTACAATGGAGAGCAGTTCAGACACTAGTGCCTGTTTACCTGGCTTGGAACCATAACTGTGTACTTACAACGTGATCTAGAGACAAGTATTCTTTTTAATTCTATAGACTTGGCTTTGTCATCTACAAAATGACATAACAGTATGACCCTCATACTGTTGAAATAACTGTCAAATAATATTTTCAAGTATTTCAGATAATATGTGGAAATTGTTTTAAACTGTTTCTGGTACATAGAAAGAATTTAATGGATGTTAGAACATGTTAGCAATAGTTATGATCATTTTTGCTATCATTAATGTCATTTCCAAAATTTTAACACCAATGTAGTAGCTATAAACATGAATTATTTGATCTTAATTGGCAGTCATGAAAGAATTTTCTTGCAGTGTGCAGGAAAGCTGCACGATTTGACACTGTAATTTGAGAATATGATCTGATAGAATTCTGTGTCATAATGATAGTTTTGGGCTTTTCAAATCTCAGATTACATACATTGACCGGCCTTGATGTTCATTTATAAAGTAGAAGGTACAAGGCAAAAATATTCAACTTGTTAAATTGAGACTCTCATGCATTCCTTTTACACTTAATGTAGTTTGATTTCTACTATGAGTTTGTTATTCTGACACAGCATGAATATAATAGGAAAAAAGTCTTAAGTGTCTTTATCCTAATTGCCTTCCAGAAACTAAATTCATTGAACTACAAATTAAAACTACAGATTTCTGTTCTCACTTGAAAATTTCACTGGACTATTATTGCTAGCACATGGATACCTGATTTCATCTTACATTGCATACCTCCAGACAACAGAAAATACATATGCAGTTGTATGGCACTTTCCACCAGATAAGAGAGCTCACAGAATCATTAGGTATTCTTATGCTAAATTTAGATTTTATTTGATTTTACTTAACTCACAGTCCATCATTTCACATATTTTAATCTCTGAGGGAGAGGAGAATAATAAAAATAAACATGCATAGCCATTACTGTGAATCAGGCTAAGTGTTCAGATATAGCAATTCACTTAATCCTCATAACAATCATATTTGCAAGTCTTTTAGAAAAAAAAAAAAA